GCCTCCTTAACATCATTTTCGACCTCAAACCTGTGGAGACACTAAGCAAAGGTCAGAAGTATAGGTTCATGTTATGCGTTCCAACCTTTGTGGGACTGAATTTTAGTGATTTTAGCCTTTGTTAGCTTCGACCTTAAATATTTGCTTTGTGTCCGATTTCCTTTGATTGTTATTCAGCAGTAAACCTTACCTCGGAGCGGTATTTCAATGTTGCGTAGATGTCTAAACAAGTACGATTTGTGACAGCTGATTTTCGATTAGATCTTTGATTGTTTTATTACAGTGAGTTTGACGTTTTTGTTGGTCAAGATGCTAGTGCTTATTCCCTTTGCGGACCAGTGCGTGGTCAAGTTTGTGCACCGTTGGATTTATTTATGGGGCAACCGTGCCTTGCATGTACCAATTTCGTGTTCCTCAGTCTCTGTTTCTCACTGTCTCACAAGCCCCAACCCACACAGGGCGTTCGGCTGTGTGTTTGAGGGATTAACCGCCGAATTTATGGCTGTCATCGCCTCTACGTGCGTTTATGCTCGCACATTTAACGTAACGTCTTTTATAATGATAACTATGTAAAATGCAGTAATTTATGAATAAAAAGTGAAACTGATGTTTAACATTCACGGTTGCTTTATATGCATGTGGAGTGCATAAGCGTACTTTGACTAATCGAGACTTAAGTAATGAATAAACAAAATAGGCTAGTCTCTTGGAATGGGCACTTCAACGCTGATGTGGGTTTCGCTTAATTTTGCCCGTCCATCAGAGTCAGCGTTTTCAAAGTACCACTTCCTTCGAACAATGAAAAGGTTCTTTTTGAAGTTGACAGCATTGCGCTTCCGACTCATTATTGAATTCTGCAATTTTGACGATGCATCTAAGCTAGTTCAACATTTTCCATGGAAAACCATGCTTTTTTCTTGTTTTCTATGGGTTAGACGTAATTTCAAATATGTTCATGAGGAAGCTTCTTCACTCAAGTGTTTTATTGTAAAAGCGACAATCCTGCCTTGTGAGTCTGCGAATCAAACTAACTTCCTGCGTCTTAACAACAATGGTAACCAGTCGTTTATCCTTTCCTCATTCTTAGGAATTTGTGGCATGATTTCTTTTACATTTTCGGAATGGATATGCAGTCTCTTGCCAAATATAACACAATTGAGTGAAGAAGAGCTCGGATAAGCATTTGGACCATGCAGGCGTGCTAAAATTAAATGAGCCATTCAGATGCTTGAAGAGCATTGTCTTTTGAGATTAGAAGCCTTGTCCACAAAAGGGTGCTGCTTCGCATCAAAGTTTGCAATCCTCAGACTGACGCCGCACCTTGAACAGTGAATTAAAGTTCTACGTGCATTAGCCCATGACGTCTTCAGGAAAAGGCACTGAGCGACTGCACCCGACCTTAGCATCTAGGCCGGTAAGAGCATTAGGTGATGTATTGTTTACTTTGAACATGGTGACCTTTTGAATAGCTGCTTGGTGTTTTGGATGAGTAAATAAAAGTCACGATCAAAATGAGAAGTGCATACCTACGCGTGCAGTAGACGGCATAAATGAGAGTGGTGACAATTTTCTGACACGACTTACTTCCATGACGGGCAAAATGCCCTGTGTTCTGTAATTTGCCCTTCCTAACATGGACGGTGGATTGGGTGAGACCACGTATTGCCTGGCCATTTTGATTTTACAGGTAATGCGTGGACCTACATCGGTGTCCAAGGTAAGTTTTTGCAAATTTGTCACTGATGTGCTTGCAGCATGTGACGTTTTACTCTTTCCATATTTTGTTCACACTAAAGTCGGTAATTTATGAATGGAATTGACGGTTGTGTGTCTTACGGATCTAAGCATTTTAACGGGTTGTAGTACGTGCCATTAATTAGTCTGGAAGCCAGAGTCATCTGCGAAAAGTGGACTGCAACGAATGTTAAAGAATTTGATGCATTTGAGCTCATTTGTTGCCATTGGAAGTGGTCTAGCCAGGTGTGATGGTCTGACACATTTAGCCCTGTAAGGCACCCATAAATTCATTTTTAGTTTACTTAAGCGTAGTAATGTACAAAGAAGCAAGGGACATTTGGATGATCAAAAAGGCTTAATTTTATCAGTCTCATATTTTGGCAGAGCAGTTCCAAACGAGACGCCACACATACATCAAGTCCACAACGGAAATCCACTTTGAGGAGTAGTTCAGAAAAGACCTACTTACACAAAGTGGGTAAGAACCATTATAAGTATTAGCTTGTACAGGGAATTCAAAGCGTTAACCTTCTTCGCTGATCCTTTTCATCGCGAGTCATATGCCAATTTAGTGCATCAGTCAATTTTAATCTTCCAAGGCTTATGATGGAAGGCCTTCAATGATAAATTGAAAAAGGTAAATAGTAGGGAGGTTCAGAAGTGGTACTAGTTTTGTCTCGAACAGGGAAATAATTCCTCTTCACTACTCCCCACTTTCCAGTACACTCTGACCGCTTCCTTTAGGCACGTCTTTTTGTAATTTTTGGATTTGTTTTTATAGTTATGCGTCCACCATAGAATTTATATTTATGAATGAAGCAAATTTGGCGTGTCTGTGGCTAGTACTACGCAGGTGAACCTGTTTCCCTTTTATCCAAACATAAATCAACGATTACCACATATGTTCATGCAAATAGAAAGTATTTTAAGGCATATTAACAAACTTGTCTGTGATTTGCAATGCGTAAAGCGGTTATGAATTCGTTTAACAAAATCACCCTCTGAGTGTTTGAAAACCCTTTTAAATCATAGGTGGGGGAGGAGTAAGGGGCAACTATCAGTTCCACATAATAGTTTGGCTGTTTTCTGTGGTCATACACGGGTGCAATCTACAATACCTACTATAAGATAACCATCTCATTCCACCTTATAGTCCAAAAAGA